AGACAAATCATGGCAACGTGCTGGGGCTTGGCCTATGATTACACGGCCTGGTTCAACACTATCCAGCACCTTCAAAAGGAAAAGAATGTCGGCAGATCTGAGGGCTAAGCAACAGTCGCTAGTCAAACTTCGGCTGCAATGAACAGCACAGCTATCCCAGCGGCAAGTACAGCAGCTGCTCAAACTTCAACTGCAACAGACAGCACGGTTACCCCAGCTCCAAGCACAGCAGCTGCACCAACCCCAGCGACAAGTACAGTCGCTACTCAAACTTTGGCCTCAATGAACAGAGCAGCTACCCCAGTGGCAAGTACAGCAGCTGCTCAAACTTCAACTGCAACAGACAGCGCGGTTACCCCAGCTCCAAGCACAGCAGCTACACCACCCCCAGCAACAAGTACAGTTGCTACTCAAACCACAGTGATAATCACTGCAGTCAAACCAGAGGATCAATTCGTACCATTATCGGTTGCCCCTGTACGCAAGAGAACAAGCAAAAAGGAGGCAAAAAGGGTGAAGCGAGATGAAGAACCAATGAATTCACCACCCGGTCCAGAATCTGATCAGGAGTCATCATCACATGACGAAGAAGATGAAGAAGAGGTAACTTCTCGACCTCGGACCTCAACCGAGCTGCGGAATATGCGAAAAGATTTTACCCGTCAACCAGGGGAGCACATCATCACCTGGTTACTCCGATGCTGGGACAATGGGGCCGATGGTCACGAACTAGAAGGTACAGAAGCCAAGCAGCTCGGATCACTTGCTAGAGAAGGGGGAATTGACAAAGCAATCGCAAGAGAGAAAAAGTCCCTCAGCCTTTGGAGGCGGCTCTTGGCAGCTGTGAAAGAAAGGTTTCCGTACAAGGACGATGTTACGAGTCGTTCGGCCAAGTGGACTACTATAGACAAAGGCATCCAGTCTCAGAGGGAATCGGCCATTGTAGAGATGCTCTATCACATCAAGCCGAATAACGGGGATACACCTATAGATCCAGATGAAGTTGAATGTACACGACCCATGTGGCGAAAACTCACACGGAATGCACCGTCATCATATGCCCATTCATTGGCAACAGTGACCTGGAATGACATAGTACCACTAACAGTGGATGAAATGGTTCATAAAGTCCGAAAGTTCGAAGACAACCTCACCCCTTCCATCATCTCAGCTGTGGAAAAACTGTCCCAGGACCTCAAACAATTGAGGGATGATCTATCTGATTTATCCAGCTCCTCACGTGTACCAACACACGTCTCGGCTATTAACAAAAGGCGTCCTATTGTTCAAGTGAGGAGATACAGGAGGTATACACCACGGGGTACCCTATGGTTTTACCTGCGGGATCACGGAGAAGACATGACAAAGTGGGATGGAAAACCTACTTCAGCTTTGGAGGAACGGGTGAGTGAACTGAAGAGGGGAGCAAGGGCCAAGACTGATCGTCCCATGAGAGCTACGGCTTCAGTCTCTGGTGATCAGTTTCCCAGATGGAATGGAAGAGCTGATTTTACTACAGCTCCTGTGATAACGAAGAATAATCCCTTTCACCACGACTGAAGTGTCCAACGCTGACGACCATTAGAGGGGCCCTGCCTCCAGCCAGGTGGAGGTAGGGGACAATCGGATTTCCTGGACTGTGTGGATCAGATGGCCTGGCACATCAGTCCCACAGAAGTATAAGGCCCTAGTCGATACCGGTGCACAGTGTACCCTGATGCCATCAAGCTGTCAAGAGGTGGAACCCATCTATATTTCTGGAGTGACAGGAGGATCCCAAAAGTTGACTGTGCTGGAGTCTGAAATCAGCCTGACTGGGAGGGAATGGCAAAAGCACCCTATTGTGACTGGTCCAGAGGTTCCATGCACCCTCGGCATAGACTACCTCAAGAGAGGGTACTTCAAAGACCCAAAAGGGTACCGGTGGGCTTTTGGTATTGCTGCTTTGGAGACTGAGGAAATTGAGAAGCTTTTCATGCAGTAGCCCTTGGACCAGTCCGGACCGGACCTGATGTAAAAATGTACGGTACACTGCAGCTGGGGAGAACGGTCCTACCCGGAGCCTCTGGCAGAAAGCTCCAGGGGAGACTCGAGGTCGACCCCTCGGCTTTTGGAGTCGGGGATATAAAGGATCTGAGGCCAGCTATACCCCAACTGAGAAAGAGATACTGGCAGCCTATGAAGGGGTTCGAGCTGCTTCGGAAGTGATTGGCACTGAAGCACAGCTCCTCCTGGCACCCCGGTTGCCCGCGCTGGGCTGGATGTTCAAAGGCAGGGTCTCCTCTACACATCATGCAACTGATGCTACATGGAGTAAATGAGCTGCACTAATTACACAACGAGCTCGAATAGGAAATCTTAGTCGTCCAGGCATTCTAGAAGTCATCATGGACTGGCCAGAGGGCAAAGATTTTGGAATGTCACCAAAGGAGGAGGTGGTGCACGCTGAAGAGGCCCCACCATATAATAAACTGTCAGAAAGTGAAAAGCAGTATGCCTTGTTTACTGATGGCTCTTGCCATATTGTGGGAAAGCATCGGAGATGGAAGGCAGCTGTATGGAGTCCTGGATGACAAGTTGCAGAAACTGCTGAAGGAGAGGGTGAATCGAGTCAGTTTGCCGAGGTGAAAGCCATCCAGCTGTCCCTGGACATTGCTGAATGAGAAAAGTGGCCAGTACTTTATACTGACTCATGGATGTTGGCAAATGCCCTGTGGGGGTGGTTGAAGCAATGGAAGCAGAGCAACTGGCAACGCAGAGGTAAACCCATCTGGGCTGCTGCACTGTGGAAAGATATTGCTGCCAGGGTGCAGAACCTGGTGATGAAGGTACGTCATGTAGATGCCCATGTACCCAAGAGTCGGGCCACTGAGGAACACCAGAACAACCAACAAGTGGATAAAGCGGCTAAGATTGAAGTGGCTCAGATGGACTTAGATTGGCAACATAAAGGTGAATTATTTTTGGCCCGGTGGGCCCATGACACTTCAGGCCATCAGGGCAGAGATGCAACATACAGATGGGCTTGTGATCGAGGGATGGACTTAACAATGGACACTATTGCCCAGGTTATTCATGAGTGTGAAACATGTGCTGCAATTAAACAAGCCAAACGGTTAAAGCCTCTTTGGTATGGAGGACAATGGTTGTAGTATAAATATGGGGAGGCCTGGCAGATTGACTATATCACACTGCCACCAACCCGCCAAGGCAAGCGCCATGTGCTTACCATGGTGGAAGCAACCACCGGGTGGCTGGAAACATACGCTGTGCCCCATGCCACTGCCCGGAACACCATCCTGGGCCTTGAGAAACAGATTTTGTGGCGGCACGGCACCCCAGAGAGAATTGAGTCAGACAATGGGACTCATTTCCGGAATAACCTTATAGATATTTGGGCCAAAGAGCATGGCATTGAGTGGGTATATCACATCCCCTACCATGCACCAGCCTCTGGGAAAATCGAACGGTACAATGGGCTGTTAAAAACTACTGAGAGCAGTGGGTGGGGAACTTTCAAGCATTGGGATACACACTTACCAAAAGCCGCCTGGTTGGTCAACACCAGAGGATCTGCCAACAGGGCTGGCCCAACCCAGTCAGAACTTTTACATATTGTAGATGGGGACAAAGTTCCTGTGGTGCATATGAAGAATTTGCTGGGGAAGACAGTCTGGGTTATTCCTGCTTCAGGTAAAGGCAAACCCACTCGTGGGATTGCTTTTGCTCAGGGACCCGGATATACTTGGTGGGTAATGCGGGAAGATGGGGAAGTCCGATGTATACCTCAAGGGGATTTGATTTTAGGGGAAAACAGCCAATGAACTTAATTGTATGCTGTTACCTGCTGTGTAATACTTTTATAGCCCATCAACTAGATGTCTCCAGGTCACCAGCGACTGGCCCTGACTTCCCTCCAGCCATCATCCCAACAGAGAATGAACTTTGAACATCATGGACCGAATGGACTCGGCAGCATTATAGGGATTGGTCCATGCACTAAGAAAATGATCTTTTCCTCTTGGTCTGTATGTATATGGATGTATATATGTGGGAGAGCAATGGTGGAAATGTGGGATCTGAGCACGATGGGGAAATGTGGGATCTGAGCACGACGTGAATGGTATGGAATAAGGGGTGGATAATGTCCTGGGTTCAGCAGTAGCAGTCATGTTTTTTCCTTTGTGGTAGCTGGTGCAGTGCTGTGTTTTGACTTCCAGCCTGAGAACTGTGTTGGTGAAGCCGATGTTTTCAGTTGTTGCTAAGTGATGTTTACCCTGACCAAGGACTTTGTGAGGCTCATGCTCTGCCAGGGAGGAGGGGAAGGTGTGAGGAAGCAGAGATGGGGCGCCTGACCCGGGGTAGCCAGGAAGGTATTCCATACCACAGCACGTCATGGCTGGGGTGAGGGGTAACTGGGAGTTACCCGGAAGGATACGGGCTTCCGGGTGGACCTCGTTTTCTTGGCCGGTGGTATTGTATCCTCTTCCCTTGTTATTTTCTCTTATCATTGTTGTAGTTGATAGTTGCGGTGGTGATTTGTGTTGTACATTGGTTGCTGGACTGTTCTTGTCTCAACCCGTAGGAGTTGCACTTTTTCGATCCTCCCTCCCGTTCCTCCGGGAGCGGGGAAGGGGAGAGCCCCGGTGGGGGGGGGGGACACGGACCTCGATTGTTGTCAGCTCGGCACCACTCACTGGGAGTGAGTGAACAAGTTACCTGACTGGGTTTAAACCACGACACCAGTGTTATAATTGAAATAAAAAAATATAATATTTTTTAATAAGGTAAGAGAGTATACAACTCCAGTAATGGTAGTGATGCAGAATGCACTTATTCACTCCCCCTTGACTAATGCCTTTCCCTTCCCTGCGCATAAATCAGAGTCTCCCAGCCAGCTTTTCCCATGTAGGGAGCACAACATTCTATGTTATGTAATACCCTTTTGTCTAGTTTGGGTCACATGACCTAGCTGTGCTCTCTCCCAACTTCTTCTGGACCTCCTCACTGGCAGAGCATGAGACTGAAAATCATTGATAAGGTTAAGCACTACTTAGCAGCAACTAAAACATTGGTGTATTATCAACGCAGTTCTCGGACTAAAGCCAGAACACAACTCTATGCCAGGTACTAAGAAGTAATTAACTCTGTCCCAGCTGAAGCCATGACATTTCCTTGTGCCAGGTGTTTGTAAGCGGCGAGGAGAAGCAGACAAGCCAACCAACCCAATATGGGTGATAAGCAACGTCTACTTTATTTGTGACACAGTTCACACATATATAGGAGTGGTATTCAGCCACTCCTTCTTGGCACAACAGTATTGGTTAGCCCCCCACAACTTCCTCCACATTCTCCTCCTAGGTCCGGTGTCCGGCCACCTGTGAGGGCCACCCCCTGCCTTGCTTGCACAGTCCTGCAGAACTCTATCGTCCTGCTCTTAGAGTCATTCTGCAACAATTCCCCCCTTTTTCTTTGCGCAAGCAAGGCATTATGGGTTATTCTGTTCACCTGTTTTATCACACATCTATAAGCAAGTCTAATAGCTACGATGATTAACCTAACAATGATACATAAGTGCAATACTTTAAACCGCAGTGTTTGACTCAACCTGTAATGCCCCATGAAGACAACCATCTAGTTATTCTTAGGATATTGCTCATTTACTATTGCTGGGTAAGCTGAGCCAGGGTTCTCAGCTGTGCGTGCATCGAATTAGCATAATCAGAGAGACTCATACAACACATTCCATCAAACTCTTCACATCCATGTCCCTGTTCCAACAACAAAAGGTTCTGCAGTGTTGCATGTCTTACAGAGTCAACATTAAAACAAATCAGGAATTGCCTTCGATGTAGAATTGTCTGCTTAGCAACTCAGCAACCCAGTCTGCTTAGTTGAGCCAAGGCCCTGGCTAAAGCACTTACAGTGATTTGGCATATTATGATTGGATACATGTTTTGAAGACCCTTAGTGACTAACATATAATTGGTTAAACACAGGTGTGAGAACTCAACCTTGAAAGCTTGCCAACAGTCCACAGTTCTCATTAACTTGGTGAATTCCAGCCTCTTAGCTTGCTTGCTTAAGCTTCTTCAGGCCTCCCATGGCCTTGCTGTATCTTTCAGGACTATTCAAAGTTTATGTACCACTTATGCATTCTCCTGTGAGAACACTGTCTCCACATCTTCCCCCTTTATGTTTTATATACGTTTGGGTGGCCCTACTTGAGCAGGGGATCTGGGCTAGATTATATCTCTAACATATGCCAACTAGAGGCTGCCTGGGCCTGCCCCTTTTTTCTGCTGCATGGCTCTCTGATAACAGGCTGTATAGCTCTCTGATCCTTCACATCAAGGTCTGGCATGGCATGTGTCCCCACCGCTCCATGCCTGCTGGGTTGCAGCCAACAGCGGAGCTAAAGGTTCTCCTTGGTGGCAAACACAGAAGCCAACCCAGTCTTGCCCTTGATTGTGGTAGCAGGCATTTGGTCAGCCTCAGTCCTTGCACCTTGTTGTCAATGCACAGTTTCACCTGCTTCATCCAGTAACAAGTCACTACTACAGCAAGGCACACACAAATTTACATTAGCAGAGTAACTATTACAGGGTGCAGCAGCATGTTGAAGATGCTGATGGTAGCCAGGGACTAGCCAAAGAAATTTCTTACCAGTGGAATTCTCCCACCCTCTTCATTTGCTCCATCACCTGCTTTATAACACTACCATTGTATTAAAATATTTCTAGCTTTTGCCTTAGCATTTTCTAGCAGCTACTGCAAATTTCCATACTCTAACATCTCTTTTACAAGTGACAAATCTATACAATACAAGGTGCAGTTTCTTATTAGCAACTAGCTAGTAAATACAGGTGGTTTTATACACAAAATCACAACCTCTAATAATAGCTACTTTACAAGCACACATGTTCAGGCTGTTACTTTTCAGTTGCCCCCAAGTGATGTTTTGCAGTTATTTGTTCTTTCTCTTCCTCTATCTCATTCTGCTTGGGGTAATCACGGTCAGCTCCTGTAGCTGAGGCATCAGGTTTATCCATTCGTCTGTCCAGCTCATGGCAAGGCTTGACAAACTTTGCAGGCAGTCACCATGGACCTGTAGGCAGGAGGACACAAATATACCCCCTCCCCCAGGTTATCAGTTCTTCAGAAGTAGACAGGTTAGACAGGTTAAAGTTAAATGTAACATCATTACTCTCTCTCCCCCCTCTTTTTTTTTTTTTTTTAGTCCCTGCAAAAGCCATCATTACTCCCACTACAGTCCCACGTACAGAACGTGGCACAAGGACCCTGTGGAGACTAACAGCAAACCAGCTCCGAGAAGCATCATTGCAGTGCGAGGTGGCAGGCTCAACCTTAGTGGCCATCCCCGCAGAGGCTCTGCCTCCCCCACATCGCATGAGGCTTGGGCTTTTATACTGACCAAAATGCACACTCATTCCGACACAGGTGGCCAGCCTGTGCTGGAAGAAATGGCCTGCAGTATCTACAGAGGTCTCCAAGGGTTGATAGAAACCTGGACATACTTATATTTACCAACTTCTAGTACATGAGTATCACAGAGAAACTGTATGGGCTCCCCCTGTCAATTGCAAGAAAAATTCATAACATATACAGCTTGAGTATAAGAGGATTTTAACGCATACGTGGTCACTGTTTGTCAGGCCTCCTTAACTATTTTGAGATCAAGAGCTTCCCACTCTTTAGCCCCCTGCTGTGTAGTAAACACAGGATATGCAAAGATGCCCATTGCAGAAAATTCACCAGTAATGATCACATATTTGGTTACCCATTGTTACAACTGAGCGTCTCCAGGGCCAGTAAGTCTGAGCCCCGGGAGACAAAGAGTCAGGGTCTGGAAGCAGAGGATATAAATCTGGACTGGATTCAGGGGATTCGGGGGCTGATCCTGCGCCGAACTCGGGGTCTCCGTTGCTCGCAGCTGTGTCTTTCTTATCAGATGTATCTCGTTCGGTATGTAGCCATCTGCAGACCTGGCTCCTCCGAAACCGCGTTAAAAATTTTTTTTTCACTCTAGGGCATCGTGGGTTGGAGAGGCTTGCAGTTCCTTTAAATCTCCCGCTAGCACATGATCCCTATTTTCTACTGCGTGCTTCAAAATGGTGCCTCAATCGATCCGGTGCCGAGGCACCGCCCTCTTTCTTTCGGATTCCGCGACATTTATCATGCGTATACCTTCTTATATACTTTCTCTGTCCTTTTCAAAGTCCCTACTTTCGGAACTGGGGGGGTGGGGGAGCAGGGGGTTACACTTCCTCCGCGGCACCTTCTGATGGAGGGGGAGAAAAGGAAGGAGGGGGTGGGGGGTGGGGGGGGGGTGGGAAACCCTGTGCTCCCGCGAGTTGGGGGAAATGAGTTGTAATCTTCCCCCGGATTCAACCGACTGGGGATGTCTGTTCCTAGTTTCTCCGTTGCTACCGCGGCAGTTTTCTTTTCTGCTTTGTATCTTTTTAGACAGTTCATTACTTCTCTCCGTGGTTTACCGAGTTTCTTTGCCTTTTTATAATCATTAAGCACTGAGTCAAATAATTCATCACCAAACTTTCGCCACTCGCTCTCCTCAAATATTGTATTAGGATCTGCAAAAAAATCCCTTAGCCTTCCCTACAGCCACTAGACCTGCTAGCTGCTTTAGAGTCTCAGGCTCAATTCCCAGCTTTTATAAAAAGCACTGTAATAAGTCCAGGGCTACCTCTCGGTCCATTTTCATGGCCAGCCTTTTCCAGATCGTCTTCTTCTGGGTCGTCCTGTAACTTCGGTCTCCGGATCGGCCTCCCGACGCAGCAGTGTCTGGTTCGCCCCAGCGGCAGATTCCTTTCGGTTAGTCCAAGCACCCGGGTCCGTCACGCTACCGCAGCAGCATTGCCCGTGCTTCCTGGCTGCTGCCTCCAGCTCCGCTCACTCGCCGTTCCGGGTCCCCGTTAGCCGGGGCCCTGTATCCGGGTCCCTGTCAACCGGGGCCCTGTATCCTGGGTCCCCGCTAGTCGGGGCCCTGTATTCTGGGTCCCCGCTAGTCGGAGCCCTGTAATCCAGGTCCCCAGCTACCAGGGCCCTGTAGTCCGCGTCCCTGTTCAGGCGCCATTTGTAAGCGGCGAGGAGAAGCAGACAGGCCAACCCAATATGGGTGATAAGCAACTTCTACTTTATTTGTGACGCAGTTCACACATATATAGGAGTGGTATTCAGCCACTCCTTCTTGGCACAACAGTATTGGTTAGCCCCCCACAGCTTCCTCCACATTCTCCTCCCAGGTCTGGTCTCCGGCTACCTGTGGGGGCCACCCCCTGCCTTGCTTGTACAGTCCTCCAGAACTCCATGGTCCTGCTCTTTGAGTCATTCTGCAACAGGTGTTCTTCAACATGGGAGACTCTCAAAGGAACTCCCTATGCTGATAGGCACCCTTATGCCTTTGGGAGTACCCCATGCCTGGACACGTTACTCCAGAGCATCACTCCTGAGCTTTGGAAGCACTACATGCAGAGATGAGTTACGGGTGATGCTGGTGGGTGCTCCAGGGCTGTTCCCATCTTTGCAACTCCTGGTGCTCCTAAAGCACTCTCCATCCCTTCCCAGCCTGTTTTTGTGGTGGCCATCTGCTCTCCAGAGTGGCAGCTGTGCCAGTAGCCCCTTGCAGCACCCATGTCTCAATCCTTGCTGACAGGAGAGCAGGGTCCCGCTGTGCTTGGAATTTCACATAGGACATCTGGTCTTTGGAAAGTGCCTCTTCCTTTCTCACTCCTGAACTGGAATCCACTCCTATTAATAGCAAGTGTTTGTTGATATCCATTGTCAGCAGCAGGGAGCAGTGCCTGCTGAGCCACTCCTGTATCCTCGCTGGGCTGACAGGCATTTGCCCCACTGAGGGACGTAGATCATATCAGGGCTGGACTGTCCCTGCTAAATGCTCCTCCATGTCCTTGTACCCTGGGGAGCTGACGGATATGGGTGTGGTTGCTGCCCCTCACTTCTGGGTTCATGCACCCCATTGACCCAAGCC